TTCCACTTCTGTCTCTCAAGCCAGATAAGTCACTTCATAATAAAGCTCTTACAGATCAGCAATGCAGAACTCTTACAGAAATAGGACTTGTGGCATTTTAGGGTTTCAGCAGTACATACTGTGAAGTCCAAGTGCAGAGGACTCTTTGATTTAATGAGGTAAATCAGAAATGAATACATGATTAATTTAACGTTGTCTTTATAGACCAAACATGATTTTCTGTCAGTACAGTTATCTTCATCCAGCACTACCTGCAAGTTCTTGGAAACACACACACACACACACCTTCACCTCCAGCTGGTTACAAAGGAGATACACCACTTCAAACACCTAGCTTGTCCCCTCAGTACATGGTTACAGCCACAATTGAGGATTGCAAATCATCTTTTTATTAAACAAGCCCCATTTAGTTGCACATGTTTATCAGAAAAAAAAGGAACTGGTGACACATCTACACCGAAATGGGCTGCTAAGGGTATACTGGGGGAAAGGGAACAAGCTGAAGGTCACTTCTAGCAATATTTTCAGCAATCCTAACTTTGTTCCTAAAATATTAAGTACACTTCAAGATTGCAATTACTGCCTTATCTTGACAGGCTTACCCAGAACGATCAAACAACCAAATTTCACTGGATGGATCTACACATTCAATGCTTTTAACCCCCCAAAAAACTTGAATGTACACTCCAAGCAGGAAGCTCAGGTCAAATCTTTCTGTTCGTTTTCTCTTGCAAGTCCCCCGAGCCAGTGCAAAAACAGGTGAGATCCTTGTACCTTTCACGTTATCAGAATTGGCATAAGACTTACCCAGATTGGCCCCAAGTAACACTGCCTGATCTGCTTTGACATTAAAATGATGAACATTGATATATCTAACTTACTTTTAGGTATGTTTACAAACATTTAGTGGTATACTATGAAGAAAACTAAGCATAGTAAGAGTTTAGTTCCAGTGTACTCTGTATAAGAACATCAGGGACTTATTTAATTGTTTTTGTAGCCAATTTCCTTGCACCTCAAGGCTCATTAGTCAGTCATCTAATCATCCCATACAACAATGCATCCTCTGTTTCCTTCTTGAGTTGAAGAATATATCTTCATCTATCTATCCAGCAGTGGCGTCCTTCAGCTGCAACCTTTCTGAGGGTTATTTGACTGGTTTGCCAATGTTACTGCTGTTTCTTATGGCTGTGGATTTCCTCAACATTCAGTAGTTCTGTTCTACTGTATTGCCCAGATGCCAAAATATAAGCTCATATGATGACTGTCATTTATTAACTTAAAAAAACAGTAACAATAAAAATCAGTATATCTGGGCAAGTAATGGGTTTGTTTCATGTGTCCGCCTTACTATTTTACTCAGAGTCCAAGAAAAAACAATGGCATAACAAATACAGAATCACATTTGCAGTTAGGACACGGCTGAAAGAAGCATTACTGGAAGAAGAGATGAAAAATCCAGGTGTTAAATTCTGAACTACTCAGAGCACCAATAGGTTTTACAGAAACAGAACTGCATATAAAGCTGCACCTGAACTTCAAAGTAAGAAGGTTCCAGCACAGGGCACTTCCCTCTGCCTGTCAGGCAGCACTGCTGTGCTAGAGCCTTTGACAGGCTGCCCAGAGACTGTGGGGTCTCCTCCTTGGAGCTCTCCCAAAGCCATTTGTCCGTGGGGCTGGGCCCTGCTCTGCAGGGTTCTGCTGAGGCAGTGGGATCCTGAGCTGCCTCCAATCTCAGCCCTTCTGTGACTCAGTGTATACAAACACACACAGGTACGCTTAAAACACACATACTCAGAAAGAAAATATTAATCTGGCCCCCAAAATAAATACTTCACATTTCCAAACAGGCAACTCAGCAAGTGAATTCTGGTTTCCAAGCACAGTTCATTTAACAAGCCAACAGAAAAATCTTCATAACCCAGTTACTAAAGAGACTGCTAGCATGTCACTAGAGTTATATAGGAATAAAGAAATGGTTTTCTATTTCTTTTATGCTTAAAGCATCAACACATTTCAGTGGGATTACTGATACTGTTTCCACAGAGACAGCAGTCCAGATGACAACACCTATCAAGAACTCACATTTCTTTTTAGCGTGGGTGGAGAGAAACTATCTTCTCCTCTACAGAATGCTAATGGATCTGGGTGTTGCAAAGCACCCTGCTGTTAGCTCCTGGGAGCGAGAAATCACCCATGTCATGCAGTGCATCCACAGCTCTGCACCTCCTCCAGCTGCTCCAGTCTGCTCTTCACTGCTGCAAAAGCACAGAGCAACAACACAGAACTCATTTAGGAGCTTACTAAGTGTAAGAACAGGAGCACTGCAGGTAATCTACATGCAGAGCTTCAGAGATTGATTATTTCCAATAAAAGCAGCACAGAATTCTCCTCATGATGGAAAAGCGATGGTTTGAATTGTTTTGAAGTAATTGTAACATAAAATGAAAAGCTTCTTGATGCGCTGTATTACATAATTAAAGCCGACGAGGTTCTGTCAAGTTCTATTTTTAAACCGTGATGGTTTGCTAATGAAACTTCCCAAGGAAAGTTCAGGTACAGACAGCTGAAACAAATTGCTGCTAACCCGATCACTTCCCCGTGCTTAAAGTCGCCATAAAAGTGCTACTAAATCAGTGTAAATACCATAGGGCAGGAAACCAATGACCCAAACTTGGAGTTACATTCAGTTTGTAAGAATGCCAATTACACAGCATAGGATGAACCCCACTGTTTTACAAGCCAAAAAGCCAGAAGCCAAAGAGTATTACCAAATCTTAAATTATTTCCTTCTCGATATATGAAGCACATATTGAAATATGAGGAGAAAAAAAAAAATATTGTTTTTAGCTGCTCCCTAAAGCATTTGTCTATTTTTTGGTCCAATACCGCAAAGAACATATCAAACACTGTTTCAGATCCTAGGGGTTACTGCTGGAAAAGAAAAAAATAGCTATTTTGAATATCCAGCCCACCTCATGGGGAGCTCACACTACCCTCTGCAGCTCACTAAATGCAAATGCGACCATTCTGGACACCACGTGTGCAACATGCAAACCAGACTATCACTGGCTGCCAGACCCTGAGGACGCTCTGGCTCATTCCCAATTCAGCAACCTACCTGCTCAGCAATGCAAAACACTGCTCTTTACTAATACACAGCTCAGTTCTAGGTCAGTTTGCTGACTTTCAAAGCTTTGCATAGCAGATCTCCTTTCACCCCCCCACCGTGCCTTAGCCCACGTTCCGCTGCAGGCTCCGCTGCTGGCTCACCCATGTCCCAGGGAAGCAGATGCAAAATTGAACCTTCACAGAACTGGCTGCCAGGAAAAAAAAACCAACAGGCAACCAATACCCTGCTACAGCAAGATGTAGAGCTACAGCTTGGTGCAGACTCGCCTGATAATCCCACGAAAGTCAGTAAATATCAACTACAGATCAAGTGAAAGAAGATGATCACCTTTCTGCTTTTGTACACAGGGAGAGAATGCAGTCACACTGCAGTAACGAAGGCCATAAAACTGCACTGATAACTTGTTTTAATTAAGCAAGCTACTATCAGTTTTAATAGTCTCCTTATACATGCCAGACCAAATAACAAATTTCTCAGGATTTCTGGGACAGTCACAGTCCTAATGAGACATATCCTAAATGAAAGAGCCATATTATCTTCTTCCTAGCCTCTATCAAATATAATCAGAGTGATATTAGCATAGTATTGAAAAGCTTTTCATCTCTCACCTTTATTTCACTACTGTTAAGAGTAAACCATTTTACTATTAGCTAAAAACACCTCTCCTGTACTCTTGATACATACAAGCCATGCAAACACACAACTATTTGGACTCCAGAATGGAGTTTCATCACGTTTGGACAGCCAAGCTGCCCTGCAACCCTGGTGCACATCCTTTTGTTATTGAGGAAACCAAGCTGCAAGCTGCTGAACCAGAGGTAAGCAGACGTCTGATCGGGGTACCACCGTGTGATGCCTTCAAGGAGTTGAACTGAAGGCAATAGGCTTGTCTCTGCTTACCTGACACAAACACAAACCAGTCCTACAGCCCCAGCTCCTGACCATTAGTTTCCAACTTGCTGGGCAGGATCGCCATCCATGAAGCATCATTACATCAAGAATCCATGTGCCCATCTTGAATCTGTTTCTCTCTCAGAAGGATCCCCTCCATGGGCACACGCTTCTTGTGCATGTCTTACAAGCAATATTCTCCTCATTCAGAAAAAAAAAAAAAAGAAATCAACTGCTTTCACCCCTCCTCACACCCCCCTTTTCTTTTTACTTTTCCTTCCTTTAGAAAAAAGGATTGAAGACAGTACATCAAAAAGTAATCCAACAAGAAATTAACCCAGGACAGAGAATAGCCTAACATACAACACATGAAATACCTAACAGCACAGTCTGCAGAAAAATCAGTTTGCCAACAGCTACGTGAAAAACCATCTCTTACTTCCCACTACAATACAAAGCAGGATAAAGCTATAAATACTATGAACTGTCAATTTTCTTTCTTTTTTTTTTTTTTTTTTTTAATCAGTAGCTGCTTATAGACATTTCTGCAGGTGTTTAACTACTTAAAATTAAATCTCTCATTAAAAACAGTGCCTCGTTTGCAATAAGGCTGAATACATCTAAGATCTCTTCCTGGGATGAAGCAAACCAGTCAGCAAATGACATTTTTCTGCTTTGTTCGAAGTGATTGAAATCGTTCTTCTGAAAAAAGCAGTGAAGAAAGCATGGCTGAACAGAAATCTCTTGGCATTTAGTGAGTGATATTGGTGGTGGGTGGACAGCTAGACTAGATGATCTTAGAGGCTTTTTCCAAGCTTAATGATTCTATGATTCTGGAACATTGCAGCTAAACAATCAGTACAAGAAGTACAAAGAAAAAAGATTGTTTTCCTTTACTACCTAGCTAAGCAAAGCATCCTCAGTACCAGACTATTCTTAGCCTATAAAGAAATAAAACAGAAATTGTTTTCAGCACCTCCCATGTAAGCCTCCAACATGTCTGCATGTCTGAGCATATGTAACTGGAAAACATGAAGACGTTGCTGTGTCTGGAAATCAGAGTAACCATGGGGCTTTGCATTACAGCAGACAGTCCTGACCATTACAGCTCCCTGAGCTAAAGATCCATTCACTCCACATCCTGTATGAACAATGAACGCCTGATCTGAGTGCTTCAGAACCTGCCCTGCAGGAGGGAAACAAGACAGAACTTCTCAAAATGAGACACTGATATCAGCCACCTCTTTTAACAGTCTCTTCTTTTACCTAGCACATATCTATCAAGAAAGAGACAATTTCAAAAATTAACAAGCGCTTTCCCAAAACAAGTAGTCTCACACAGTCATTTTCCGGTTCTCATTATGGCACTTTCAGAAAGAAAAGAGTTCAGGTTCAAAGTGCACAGCCATTCTCCCTGACCAGCAGAGTAGAGTAGAAGTCCAGCACAACGAACAGCAAAACTTTCATTCCAGTATGCCAGTACTGAGACTTCTACAAGTTAAGTCTTTTTTTTGCTGCTGACAATAACTAGTAAGTAATCTCCTGCCCTTTCTCAGCCAATGAGGTTCTCCATTGCATCTCTCCTCTTCCACCTGTGCTGCTGAGCAATAGTGGGAACAGCTGGAGACTGGCAACAGGTGGAGTCCCAAACCCACTGTAGCCCATATGGAGACCATCACAGGGCTCTGGTAACCTAAAGTATAGACAGAACATTGGTAATAAAACTTGGATTGGACATTGCCAGAGCATGAAATAATTGTCAGGAATCTTTTGTTATTGCAGTCATGGAGAAATAAGGGGCAGATTCTTACACGTGCGAATGACTATACTGGGCTGGTTTTGTCATTAGGTGAGAGACATTAACTGTTATAGCCTGACTTCCATCCCGCGTTCTTCTGTACTGCTCAGTGGTGTCAGGATCAGAGGAATGAGGCTGATCCTGGGGAGGGGCAGGTGGGGGAGGTGTTGTGGGTTTTGTGTTTCTCACTACCTACCCTGAACGTGCACTGAGCTCCTGGACTCCAGCAGAATGACAAGGCACACAGCCGCCAAGCTGGAGCTGCACAGCTAAGCATATACAGCACTCTGGTGGGGCAGCTGCAACACTTTGCCAGATATTTCCCCAAGTCAAAAAGATTGTAGTGGACATTAAAAAATAAAACTAATAATTCAAGGGCAGGAAGGAAGTTACCTTTCTAGAGAGATATTGGGTCTCACAATCAGATAACAAGAGAGCCAAACAACATCTAGTTGGTTGCTTCCCCATTCCTAGCATAGCCTGAGAGAGGGTTGTTACAGAACCAGATGGCAAAAGAAGAGAGAACACAGATGATGCCTGGTGTTCTGGAAAATCTCACTAAAGGAAATTCTCAGAAACTTGACAGTGCACACAACTGACACGTTGAGAGAAGAAAAAAAAAAAAAAGAAAAAAAAAAAAAGGCATTTTAATCCTCAAATAAAAGTTACTGCTAGATGCTGTTAAAATTGAGCTGTGATCAGATCTTACTGCTAGAACATCTCACAATCCTTGTGTTATTTTGAGGACTTCACCGTAATTCTACTTTTGTGAAAACCAAAGGAGATCCCTAGACTCATTGCAAGTCTTTCTCCTAAATGAATTTTCATAAACACAAGTTTTAAACAGGTAGTTTTTTTAAATTTTGACTAGAAATATCTGGAAACAGGGCTTGCCAGACTTTCAACTGCCATTTCTAAAAATACAGCAGCAGGGCTTCTGCCAAGGAAAGAGAAGTACGACATTCGTGAATGCTTCCTGTGGAGTTATCACTTCTGTCTTCCCATGACAAATTACCTTTACAGTACTTCATTTTATTCCCATAAGAAGGATCACATTTTACTCTTTTACTTTCAGGAGGATAAACATATATTGAGGTGCATTCTTCGCACAGAGCCCTACATCAGTTCCCCAGTTACCATGTTAGGCAGCTATCTCTCAATGGGCTACTCATCCATTTCCACCAGAGCACCCACCACTCATTGCTCAGCACTTCTACAAACCAAACATTTCACCATTCTGCACAGCAACCCCCTCAGTGAAAACAATCAAAGAGACAGAAGTTTTCAGTACTATTCTTACAGCAAAGTACAGAAACCTGATTACCCAAGTGAAACGCAACAGAAAGCACAGCAATAATAACAGAACAGCAAGACCCCAAGCTGCAGCAAGTCAGGATTTGCTCAAATGCAACAGCCGTGGGCACAGAAATAAAGGAAAGAAGCTGCTTACTTTCAGAATGCCCTCAGGCATGCAAGGATCTCCAATAAGAACCCTCACCTCCCCTGCCAACCCTTAAATGAAGTCTGGGCAGGGGTAGATTCTGGCTCCAGGCCCTTCCGTTCAGCTGCATTGCTTGCACCTGAGCTCCCCTGGGTTAGCCCTGCCTTCCCACCAGGTGCTCAATCACTGATATATGCCATGACTCAGCATCACTACACCAAGTAACTCCTAATATGATTTCGTTTCAATAGAAATCTATTCCTAGAAATGTTTTAATGAGTTAAAGTAAAAACCTGAAGCTGCTATAAAACACACACAAATGCATTTAATAGTAGATATTTGTTACCACACGTATTAATTTAAAGGATGTGAAAAATATCCCAGCAAACCTCTCCCTGAATAATTTCAGAGGCCTTTATAAAACTACTAAAGCCAGAATTAAGGAAGTGATGCCATTATAATTATCAAATGTGGCAGAAGATAAGAAATTGCATCAATTTTTGGTGCGATAGTTGGCCAGGGCCATCTAGACTTGTATGTGCTTCCAAGAAGTTTCAAATGCTTTTCAGTTCTTTTTAGATTTCAGATTTATATAAAAGACTAGGATTTAAGAAATGTAGGTGTATAATTATTATAACAGCTGCAATTTTCCTAGAAACGTTCAGCCTCATTTGTAAACCACAGTCACAACTCTATTTCAGACCAAACAGTTGAGGTCCAGAAGCAGATATTTACATAACACCTAGAATGATCTATAGCAGTAGCTTTTACCTGAACAAAGAACAAACACACAATTGGACTACTCACACGTGAGCACAAACATGAAAATTGCTTGAAAATACTCTTTGACAGCTGCTTCCCTCATTAACTAAGAGCTTATCTGGGACATGGAGTCTTTTCAAAAGCTTTGTACCCTGGTTTTGGAATACTTTTTCTACGAAACTCTTTCACAAAGACACAGAGGAAAGGTTAAACTCTAATAGAAGTTGTATTTCTAAGAAAGAAAAAAAAATAGAGTTTGAAGTTAAAGTTTATCTCACAAAAAGATCACATTGTAAACATTTATATATGAAGAATGTGGACAAAAGGAACAACTCTGTCATTCACCTACTTTCCACTTGATATATATGTCTATCTTACGATAAGAAATGCAGCTCCCTTCACCTACTTTCTCATTTGCAATGCCTACATGTTTTAACTAAAAAGGAATGACAAATAGCTTTGCAAACATTGCATGTCCAGACCCTCAAATATCTACATTTCCCCAATAATATGAAAAATGAAGCTATCAGAGCTATTTTCCAATTTCTTTGATGCAGCTTCAGGTGATTAAGCCCAACTTCAGATTAAACCATATTAGTATATCATATAAAAAGTCACTTAGAACTCATTCAGATGTGACATTTAACAGGATTTGGGGTATTTATCAATATCTTTAGAAATAGTCTTATGGGAAAATGCAATAAAACTACTCTCTGAAAAGAAAAGAGCCTTATTTCCAGAACTGCCACCTCAGCAGCACCGTATGTTTTTTACTCCAGAGGTTGATATCCTTCTTATCTATTTGGCCTGCCTTAATTCTCATTTGTGTGATTCAAAAATCACCCAAACGGCCTGAGATGAGAAGAAGGAAGGAATCAATCACAATGAAAAGACATTGCTTGTAAAACAAAGTCTGAGAAGACAGGCCTCAAAAAGAGGGTTAAAGAAAGATGAAATGTGAAAGAATTTGCATCTTGGAAATGTAATGAAGAATCTCGAAGCAACAGCTACATCTGCAAATCTGCAAAAATAACTTTAATGCTATCTCTGTGCTACCAGCGTCCACGACTTCCAGCAGGATTCAGTTTGGGTTTACCTGGCAATAGGCTTCAGCTCTCCAGCTCCTCACACCACCACCCTCTGCCCTAACAGAGGAACCTTACAACATTCCCTTATGATTACTGCTATAAAAACAAGTCAGCTGAATGTGGTGAGTACTCCAGCCTGCAAATGTCATCCTTTCCTACTATACAGCATCACTTTGCCACAGCAGTATTGATTTTTGAAATGCAAGAAGCAGCTCAGCTGGTTTTGATTACCATGTATAAACAGTGACAAAACAAAATAATCTCCAAATTAGAGAGAGAGATTTGATTAAACGCAGACTTCAAATACACTCACTAGCTGCACAAACAGAAAGAAAGTGTGCTGCAGTTTTCAAAATGCTTCTGACTATATGAAGGAAATTATTCAAGTCCTACAGGAAAAGAAATGTTCAGTTGGAAACAAAGGTGCTACGCTATCAATAACACATCTCCGTTTGGCAAAGCATTTAAACTGTGTTTTTAGACATGCTTTACACAGTCTTGTGTGCCAGCAGAAAATGCTAAAAAAAAAAAAAAAAAAAAAAAACAAACCAACCTCTTTAAAGTAAAATATTGGAATTAAATAGACCTGCATAAAGGTGGTGGTGTAGCACTCATCGTTTCCTCCCATTTTATGAAACTGAAAAATAGTTATTGTTTAAAATATAAGAAATAAAAGGCCTATGTAACAAGAACATACTGACATCTGCTGGCACGCTGGAAGAGCATTTCACTAGGAGATGAGGATTTAATGTCCTCACCCTTATTCTTATTTAACAGTGCTGCATAATAAATTTATATTGTCCATATTTTAATATAGTAAATGAATAAAATATTCTATACTTCCAAATGCTGAAGCGTGCCTGACATCTCCAGTTCTGCAGTGCACATAAACGTGCTTCTCTTCCACATTTGATCTCTAAAGTACCACAAGAAATAATTTGTGCCCATGTTGTATAAAAATGATCAGCGATAAGTCTGCATTCTAATAATTATTTCCCTAATTTCTTCCACAACAAAAGACCAGTATTACCAATTCAGTATCCAAGCATATAACCACAGCCATCATTCAGGCAGGTCTCACAACAGTACATGCTGTTTCACAGTAGCAGCTAGCAAATTAAGAGAACAGATTCTATTTGCATCAGCACCATAGCAGAATATAGGAACATACATAACACACTCAGCATGGTTGGGTTGGAAGGGCCCTCCCAGGCTCCAGCCCCAGCCCTGCCGTAGGCTGGCTGCCCCCAGCTCAGGCTGCACAGAGCCCCTCAGTGGCCTCAGCCACAGCTCCAGGCAGCAATGCCAGCCCCTCACCACCTCTCAGAGAAAAATGTACCCCTGACATCTCACCCAAATCTCCCACTTGCCCTATCACTGTCTGCCAGCGTAAAAAGTTCATTTCCCACCTGTTTACAAGCTCCCTGGGAAGGCTGCAAAGTGTCCCCAGAGTCCTCTCTTCTTCAGCTTGAATACCCCAAGCTCCCTCGGCCTTTCTTTGTAGCAGAGGTGCTCCCGTCCCCCGATCATCCTTGTGGCCTCCTATGGGCCTGCTTCAACAGCTCCCCGTCTTTCTTGTGCTGGACACTGTACTAATCATTTAGCAAATCACATCCTCAGAGTAGCACCTAAACATACTGGATAAGATCCTTGGTGTCACCCACCACCATCCCTATGGGTATTCTCACAACCAGGATGCAGTCCCCAGGACTGAGCAGGTTTCAGAACTGCACGTCAAAGTCAGATCTTCCAGTTAACGCAGCTCCTAAAGCAGCTATAACTTGGCATCATTGTGAATATGGAATACACTGTAAATCATCACATATTTCTGAGTTTATTATCTGAAATATTTGCCATCTATTCCTTTAATGCTCGCTGTTGGAATCACAGCTTAAAGTTTCCTCCCTCACGCGTGCTATAATGCAAAGTTATGGTTAATAATTTAAATGGAAAGTAGAAGAAATTCAGAATTATGGTTCATATTGACTGAGCAACTCAGATGTGTCACAGATCCATACTGAGGCAAAGATTTAGTATTACAAACAGTGATACACAGCACTGAACAATTGCTAAGCTGTGCTCAGTGGAAATGATATATACTGTCCTTAATATTTTGTGTTTCCAAATCAACCATCAGCTGCAAGGTCACTTCCTTTTATCAGCTAATTAGCTATGTACTTGTTGAATTTCAGAGATGTGAAAGAACAAATGAAAACACCAAATTCACATTTCTAAAACATTACTTGTGTGTATTTTCACTGTATGCAATCAGGTATTTTAATGCATGCCCAAACCAGTATCT